GGCCTTGGGCTTCTTTGGGCTGCGGCTCCAAACTGTGGGCTGCGTGAGGGAGCTCAGCGCCTGTGAAGGCAGATCAGGACTTTTTGTTGAGCGAGTGTTGCAGGCTCTAAGATGGTCCGTGTGCTTCAGTGTATTAACTGTCACATGTGGGCACAGAGTCATTTACCTTCCTCTGAAATACACGAAGCACATTCCAGCCTCTTCAAAGCACGTCCTTTCTCTTCCAAGAGTTTTCCCTCCGAGCACAACCAGCTAATCCTGCCGTGTCCCCGCTCCTCTCCAGACCCCCAGCTCCTCGCACTGGCTCTCCCCCATTTGCACCTCTCTCCTTTAGGAGTCATTCTCATCAAACCAAGAGCCTTCCCGCTCCGTGAGCAGGGCAGTCAGCGGAGCGAACGGGGACACCGGGACCGCGGGGATCAGAGCCTGGTGGACGCGCCGGTGCCGCAGGAGCGCCGACCGCCACAGGAAGCCCTTCCCGCACTCGGAACACTCGTAGGGTCTCTCCCCCGAGTGCGTCCTCTAGTGCCGGGTCAGACGGGAGCGCTGTCGGAAACGCTCCCCACACTCGGTGCACGGGATGGGTTTTTCTCCAGGGTGGATCCTCCGGTGCTGGACGAGGTTGGAACTCACACGGAAGCTCTTCCCGCAGTCCCCACATATCATCGGTTACCCACAGAGGAATTTCTCTGCTGGATGGCATCTGGCAGCTTCCTGAAACTTTTCCCACGCACCATCACTCAGCTTTGCCTTTTCTCCAGAGATCTCTGAACCCTTCCTGACCTCTGTGGGATGACTGGGTCCTGGGCAGGACTCTGGGAATTGTTCTCCTTGGAAAGACCTGAGAGTGAAACCTCCAGCTTTGCTGGCCCAGGGATGCCTTGGTGGGGATCCTTCTCCTTTTTGCTCACAATCCCACCTTCAGCTGCAATAAAATGAGAATCTAGATAGAAGTCACAGACAGGAAACTTTAAACAGGGGAAATCAAAAGGAATCAAATTCTAAAGGTTCACCAGACTGACTGTTACAGAAAGATTTAATACTTCCCTTCAAACTACACAGTGGATTTCTCAGTATGTTCACAGGAACAAACCCTGGGAACAGCCCTGTGTGCTCTGACAGAACCTGAATCCACTGAAATTATTGGCATAGTAGAGGTAAAAGTTTAGTGCTTGAATGGGAAAAATGCCTGCTCTTCTAGGATGTCTGAAAAAGACATCCTAGAAGAAATTCAGCTTATTAAAAGCTGAATTGAGAGTCATGGAATGTTAATGATTGTCAGGGGAAAACAGAGAATAAAGAGAATGTTATTGTGCCCTTGCAGCTCAAACCCCACAACCTGACTGTGTGCAAGGGCAGGGATGCATCCCCCATTTCAGAGAAATTCCAATAGAGCTGAGGGAGATACAGAGCATGACATGAATAATAAAAGGCACAGAACAGCTTCTGCATTGGAGATAAAGAGTGCAGCTGACAGGGCTATTGCAGAGGACTACAAAACAACAACTGGCCCATGGAGTGGGTGGGGATCCCTCTTGCACCATCTGTTCTGAGTTAAGAACAACTGACATGAAGTGAGCTATTAGAAGGCAGCTTCAAAGCAAACTAAAGAAGGCAGCAACTCACAAAGCAGCTGAATACGCTGTGGAACTACTGGCTGCAAGCTACCACAGATGCTAAAACATGCACAACTTCAGATAGCAAGAAAATACAGAGAGCTGTGAGATACTGAGACATTGCTTCAGTAGTTTCTGAAGTCACAGAGTGCCAGGGCCTGGGAAAGCATCCAGGAACACACCAGACACTGCCTGTGCCTTCTCTGGGACCCAGCACTGCTGCTGCTAGGGACCACTGGGACAGCAGTCCATCCTGGTATCACCAATCCTACGCATGCTGATAGGGTCTGGAGCAGTTTTTCTCACCAACAGGTTCACAGATGTGCTGGGTTAATGGTCAGACTCCACGATCTTAGTGAGCTTTTCCCAACCTCAGTGATTGTATGACTGTACCATCCCCTTACCTGCACAAGTGCTGCTCTTGGATTTCCCTCGGTAGGTGTACAGGCTGGAGAACCACAGTTCCTCCTTCTGATCCATGTGGGAGATCATCTCCAGCTGCTTTCAGGGCACCTGCTCCGGGGGGAGACACGGGCCGGGATGTACCC